TACAGCTTCCTCTCTGCCGGGTCCAGCACCGAGCTGACAAATGTTGGCTCTGAAATACAGGAAGTGATGACAGAGGAGGGAACTCAGGGTGCTGTGCCATGTGGGCTGAATGTAGGAAAAGGAGATCTGAGAGTCCACCAACAGTGCCTTTAACTCAGCGACTGACAGAGAACAGAGAGATCCACGTGTTAATAAAAGAATTAGTTATAGGACCACATCTGTTGCGCTCTGTTAACTACAAACACTCTTTACTAGGTTTCCAAATGGGTTTTTAACATCCAGACATTAATAACTTGGCAGTTTTTGATTCTTAATGTATGAAGAAACTGCGGTTGTACAGGATTTGTAAATAAAAGACTAAGACATGGAAAAACACGTGGCTTTTTAAACACATGAACTGTGAGGTACATGTAGAAATTCAGAAGGACCTTTCTGAGGCAGAAGAACTGAATCACTGGGGAAGTACAGCCCGGTAAAGCCTCACGGCTGTGTGGTTTGGCCGAAAGTATGTGAGATGGCACAAACATAGGCAAATTCTGATGAGGTTCTTATGGCTTTTAAATATCAGCCCTTTCATTTTTACTAACATCAGCAGACTGTTGGCCATGAAACAAAGAGGAGCTGGAGCTGGTGTCATGTCGGTGCTGGTTCACTTGCATCAGACTCAAACATGGTCATTTTTAACTCTTCTGTATTAAACCAAAGACGCTTCTCCTTCCTGAACTTTAACCTAGGTCTAAAAGTGCCTCCGAACGGTTTCACTGTGTGTGTGCTGGGTTGTTCTGTGTAGTTACAGAGTGCAACACGGCACCGCAATTTAAATAACTAAAACAATTATTGAATTAATGTTTAAATGAATGTGATGTGAATCAGAAGCCAGTGAACCAGTGCCAACATGATTCCCAGCTCAGGCCCCAGTTTGTTTATGACTGTTATCTGGCAATGGTACAGCCTGTGCATTGTTGGTGGAATCACCCAGGGAATGCAGATGAAAATCAGCTCTTAGCTATACCTGGTACAATAAATGTACTGGGCAGTGTCCCTGTTAAATAAATAAAGAATGAACGACTAATGTGAAGCTGTTGTGGCAGAGAGATGAGGAAGAGAACGTGGACAGACAGGTGGAGTGTCTTGGCAAAGTGTGGAAAATGTGTAAAGGGAAGTTGAGTCATAGATATCATGTCTGTTAATAGACAGAATAAAACTAATGAAGGATCATTGGTGTTGAAGTACAGAAGTGGGAACTTTCCTACATTATGTACATGACTGTACAGAAGTGAGACCAGTTTGGGTCAAAGCTCTAGATCTTCATCGTGGGTTTGGTTCAGTTGTTCCTCTGACTTCTGCTTTTTAATGCCCGGTTCAGGCCATGCGATTTGTTTGTCTGATACGACGGCCACTATGTCAAATTACGACGAACTACATGCCGGTACCTGACAGATCACAGCCTGATGTCATTCACCACTTGGAGGTGCCAGGGTCTGGTAGGAGAGCATGTGGTACTGGATGCTGGTGTTTGGAAATGCATAAAAAAAGGGTGGGGGGCGTGAACCCGTCTGTGGGTTGCACGAAGAGGGCAGCAGCTGTGTTGGCTCTACTTCATAGAGAACTTGAAATAGCAGTTAAAAATAAGGTCTAGCTCCTTCACAAGGCTGTGACACTGTGCTACTGTGTGAACACGGTTCAGTCCAATAGGCCAAAGATGTTGTACACAGAAGAGCCATCTGTGCTCTGTGGGTCAGTGTCGGCCCATATACCAGAGACATGAAAATGTTCATTTCCAGTCACAGTGTTTGGTATTATCCCGGTCTCCAAAATTATTTTGATTCATTTTAAATGCACATCCATATGAATTCTTATAGGCAAAAATTCCTACCTGACTGATCATCTTCATCTTTTAAATGATTTTACTGTGATAAAGAAAGGTGCTAAACAAAAAAGCGTCATTCTGTTGACAGACTCATCGGTGGTTGATAACTTGTGTCAGCATTAACTTTGCTCACTCACCCTCCAGTAAACTGACAGATGAGTCCTGGCTGACATCTGGGTGGCCATCTTTGCTGAAGTGTCGAGAAATCTGAGGTTTGACTCCTCTGAAGTCGACGGTTGTGGCGGCAAACAGCTCGCCATCTGCACACAGATGGACATGACATCGTGAGTGTGTTTGTTTTTTAAAACATGTGACTGACAACCTCAAAGCCAGCTTAGCAATACAACATTAGAAAGAGCATAGACTCCTGCTGTCGCTTCCTGCCTTTTCTCCACTCAACTGGAAATCAGAAAATGTGGATCCTACATCTATATGTCATGTACTGAGGTTGTGCAGTTTCTTGAAGCTTTGCAAAATTTCCATACTTTTGCATTTGTAGTTCTCTGTTTCAGAAAACATGATTTTAAACGTTGCAAGTTTTAATGCCACCAACAGGAACAATGCCAAATAACCACAATGTTGTATAGTTACTCTACTTCTTTTCTCTTTTTTAATGAATCATTTATATTTAATTAACTAAAATCTCCACAGACATCCATGTCTTAGTATGTATATGACAACCACTGTATAAAGATCAAAGATGTTTGTGAATGCTCAGGACTGCACACGCCTGTCAACCTGCTCACAAGTCTAGTAGAGTGTTTGTTTACTGGTCTTGGCTTCAGCAGACTAACCGACAATGAGGGCGGTGCTCCTCTCGAAGGGGCTGAACGGACAGCGACCTTTAGCACTACCATGCCGGACAACAGCGAAGCTTTCGGTGTCCTGGGGGAGACGAACAGAAACTAAACTGTGCAGCAGAGTCTGAACTGGAGTACATATAAAGCGACTTCTGCACTGACTTACAATGTCCCGAAGCCGTACCTGCCGCAGGCGTAGAGGTGGGTGGAGTTGATCGGCTGCAACACACGGACAAAGTTCGGACAGTCGACCTGCAGAAGGAAGATCAGTTTTTGTTGTGAGAGGAAGCCATGTTGGTGCACGGACTCTGTGCGCGTTTCCATCTGCAGCTTTGGTTCATTATGTGCAGCGTTAGAACGCGGCTGGGCCCGTTTCAGCAAACAGGACAGAGGTTTAAAAATCTCTGAAGGTGGAGGTGTGTTTATATTCACCGTTGGGTTCTTCCCTTTGTTTTGACAGTCATGTATCTCTGCATCGGAGGGACGCCACTCCACCTGCACAAGCGACACACACACTGCTGAGCCTGAACATCTGGTTTCTGACCAAAGTCTTAATTTTACATTGGTCTTACAAACAAAAACACACTGAAGGAAAACAGAAGGAAGGAAGCAGAGTGGTAGGGGCTACACAGCATGAGAGGTGTTTGCTGTGAGGTGTGTAAGGGAACATCTGGCCATAGTGGTGCCACAGCTTCATGTCTGCTCCACAGCAGGGGCGGGTGCAGTGGACACATCCAGACCTGCTGGGACAGACGGCTTCGTTCCAATCTCCAGTTGAAGGTTCGAGCTCACCTTCTTCTTGAGGCTGATGACATCACTCTGACTGACGTCCAGTGAGAGGACGATGTCTCGTGCTCCCACATACAGGGTGGAGGCGTCGGGGCTTAACAACAGCGTGGTGGTGTTGTGGACATCAGGGAGGCTGAAGTAGACCAGAGGTCTGTCTGTAGAGTCTGGACACAAACACAACAGACATGGAATCTTTGTCATGAACAGGTGCATCTAAACTTGACTGTTCCCATCATGCACCTGCTCGCAGCATGTGTGAGAACAGGAAGTTGCTCACAGCTTTTGACTTTTCACACATCGACAGGGTCTAAACACAGATCTGGTTACCGTGATGTCGGCAAGTGTTAACCACACAGCCTATAAGAGGAGGCGAGAGAACAGTAGATAACATTAACAACACATCATCAGCTTCAGCAGTCAGACGTCAGGCAGAAAGAGTCACCACCACTTCCTGTTACCAAGGCTGAGGCCGACTCTGTGTCCGGGTTTGAAGAGGATGTGGTTCAGGTCTGCAGAAAAACTCAGCTGTATCTAATCTAATCAATTGAATACAGAGTTTAAAATAAGAACCCGTGTTTATGACAGAGGTCTAAGAGGTGTCCCAGAAGTCACAGTTCCATCGGATTAACACAACCTGCAGATTTAAAGCCGCCTGTGAGTTTTTAATGAGACAAACTGTTGGTTCTGGTCGTGTTAGCCGTGTAGTGGCACAAACAGAGAATACAAAAGCCAGCATGTAAACTCCACACAGCCTGTGCACGTCAGTAAAAGTGCTGCTGAGGAGGATAGTGACACACCAGGCTTTAACGTGTTACAGACTCGAGACCTGATTCATTTAAAGACTTGTGTTTTGGGTCCTGATAAACAGGGATGACAGACATCTCTCCTGGAGCCTGTGTTATCGTTCAGGCCAGGATAACCCCAATTTCTTTAAGGAATTGTTTGGCTGTATTCCAATTGACCGACCACACTGGCCAGGACATGTCCTGAATCAGACCCAAACTCCGATGCCACCAGGCTCCTGACACTTTGGGTCATATGTTTTGGATGTGCCCAAAACTCTACACAATCTGACCTGCTACTGGACAGATGTCGGAGATGTTCACAATGTTCTCCTATGTTTGTAAGACATAGGAGAGCAATGTCCTCTTTCTTGTTGATTGTATTATCTGTTTTGCCTTGTTGTACATCACTGATACAGATACACAGAGCAGATGGGGGGGTGTACAAGAAACACATGCTTGTAAAGTGCAGGACATCACACCCACAGATGGTGTTAATGTAATCTTGGTCTTTTGCTCTCATTGTTTTGTTCTCATTTCTTTCTTCAACTGAAAATACAATAAAAACACTGAAATAGATGTGAATGTTTTCTAATGTTCTTAGTCTTCTGGGCCAGTAAACTTAATATTTTTCCAATCTTGGACCATCTGTCAGACAAGCTGATACAGATACACAGAGCAGATGGGGGGGGGGTGTACAAGAAACACATTTTCATAGATCAGATTATTGATAATGAATTTGATCATTGGTTACAAGATTTAAAAAAGAAACATGGTATAGCCTCCACAAATACAGCCTTAATTACCTGGTCAAAATGAAATATAACCATGTGAGGCTGAAATGTCACAGTTATAAACTAGTAATTCAGGGCCAAAGGAAAAGGAGCCTTTTCAACACACACTCCGTCATCAGCATCATTAGACAGTAATGCATCTTCCCATAATCCTCCAGTGACACACACACACACACCCAGAGCCGGTGTAAAGATCAGAACTGGTTGATAACTGATAACTGATGAGAAGCGGTCTTTGGACTTACTGAGGAGGAAGGAGGTCCGTGGAGGAGGCAGCGAGTCGACGGAGCCCAGGAGGCTGAGGAGGTGGAGGAGGGCTGCTGGAGCCATAATGAAGAGCGGGAGATAGATGGTGACAGATAACTGTTAGAATCTGTTCTTCAGTGTCGACTCTACAGGACTAAACGAACTGACAGTCAGCGCCGGAAAACTGTGAAGAAACAGTCATGCAGCTTCCTCTCTTTACTGCGGTCAGGCAGCGGTTGGGGTGGGGGGTGGGGTGGGGGCTCTGCGACTCAGCCGCAGGGAGAGGCTGGAAGTGACAGGTCC